CCGCGCGCGCGCGCGCGCGCGCGCGTGTGTGTGTGTGTGTGTGTGTGTGTGTGTGGGTGTTGACATAGAGCACACGTAAAAACATGGGAAACTTTACACGAACACGAAACAAACTTCTCTCGTCGCGTCCCTCCATAATCGTTTTAAATCCTTTTGAAACAATCGCGAATTAAATTTTTAATTTGCGACAAGAAAGAATATTTTATTGCAGCAAGCCGAACGAGAGGGGTATAAAAAAAAAAAAAAAGATATCGAGCTCTCCGCAATGTCGTTTATAAAAATTACGGAGTTATCGATTTTAAAATATTTTATTTTATTTAAAACTTGCAGTTAACTCTCTCGGCGGTGTAAATTATATTAGCGTCTTACGTCTTTCTTGAGCGGAGATCGATTTCAAATTAATTGGAATTTACATTTAATATTCCGCGTATACACGCGTGTGTTTATATGAATTTGGATTACGGTGACTAGACGGCGCGAAGAGCGATATAGTGTCACATTTATGAAATCAGGTTTGAAATTTATTCAGCGAGATAAAGAGAAGTTCATTATGGGCGAGGCTTCGTTACTGTCCTCCCCAATTATAGCAGCCTTTGTCATCAAGTTTGTTAAAAGCCTGATCACGCGTGCATGTCGCTGACGCGACGACAATGCGACGAATGGGGAAACGGAGTTAATACGATACACGTTACTTATCGCAATTTACGTCGATCGCTTAGAAATTTGAGAAGTAGCGCACAATTAGAAACGTGGTATAAAAATATACCGTATTTGTTTAATCATGCGACAGCGACGTCGTCTGAAATGAAATCCTGCAAAAGAAATAGTCGAAGATAACAGAAAAGGAAATTATCAAAAAACAAAGTCGTTTTGAAGTCATTTTCTTGTCAAATTGTAATAATCGCTATTTTCGCATTTCCTTTTTAAATATCGCAAATTTTAAATATGTTTACAATTCTCTATGTAGAGGACCGAGAGAGATAAGATGACAAATTACTAATTTTTTTTTAAGCTAATAATCGATAAAAAGTCGCTAAATCAGAGATTTTTAACGATGATAAATAATCTATTGTAATTTGAGTTGTTGTAATTTGTCAACAACAATAGATAATGTAATTTTGCGATATTTTTTCTGAAAAATTATTAGAGATTTGAATCAAGATTTTTTTAATATCGAATCGAATCGAATTAAATTTTATTTTTTTATTTGCATTCAAATCGAATCAATAAAATTTTACCCGAATCGAATTGAATCGAATCGAATGAAATCGAGTTGAATCGTTGAAACATAACTTTTAATTAATGATATTATTATTATTAGGTAAGTTTTAACAGATAATAAAGAAGATTTCTATGTAAAAGAAATAATATTGATTACATGATATAAAGAATTCTATTATCGTTTTAAATGTTACATTATACGTATTTGGACTTCCTAGATTCAAAATTTTTGGATTCGAATAGTTCGCATATCTTTAGAAATTAGTAAATATATTTTCGCTTTCTCTATAAAACTATTATGTATCTAAAAATGCATATAATAACGTATTATTTTTCATTTTTATATCGCAACATGTTTTCAAATGAATGAATAAATATAGTAACTATAGGTTAATAAATGTCATGTCAAAAATTACATAATCGTTAATAATTATTTTAATTTTTACTTTATTTTAAGTTATGAAATTATGAATAATTGTTCTTTTTCCTTCTCGTCTAGATTTTATTTTCTTAAAGTTACATTATTATATGCACGTAACTGCAGTATATAGAATTCTATTATCACGCTTTTATCATTAACTATATATCTTCTATTTCATCTCCTGTTATATCCGTGCGTGTTACATCCACGGCATGTTAATGTAGTATTAATTTTTTTTCTAATAATTATATCAGACGTCATTTCAAAAAGTTCATCAGCCAAAGGGGTAATACGAACAGGTAGAGTGATGTAAAGAGGAAGGGGAGAGGGACAGAGAGAGAGAGAGAGAGAG